CCCTCCTTCCCAGGTGTGCGGGAATTCACCTGTGACACCTGCGGGAAATCCTTCAAGCGCAAGAACCACCTGGAAGTTCACAGGAGGACACACACCGGGGAGACCCCCCTGCAGTGAGTGACCGGGGGGGTCCTCCCAAGCCTTGAGACCCCCCCAAAAAAACAGCGAGGAGGGGTCGCAGGACACACCTGACCCCCACCTCGGCCCGCCAGGTGTGAGGTGTGCGGGTACCGCTGCCGCCAGCGCGCGTCCCTCACGTGGCACATGAGGAGACACGGGGGGCTCAAGAGTCACCCCGAGCCCCGTGGCACGTAGGGGGCGCCCCCTTGATTCACCTGGACTCACCTGGGCCCACCCCTGGACTCACCTGGGCTCCCACCTGCTTGCCAGCACCCCCCGATGTACCTGCGGCTGCACCTGGAGGTGAAGAAGAATCACCTGGGGAGGGTCCTGAGCACCTGAGCCCCTCCCCGGGACACCCCCGAGCACCTGAGGGACCCCCTCAGCTCAGGGGTGTCCTCGTGTGTCCCCTCCCCCCTCCCAGGTGACCCTCTCGCCCCTCACCTTTTATTTATTTCCTTATTCTCCCTTGTCACCCCCCTCCCCTCCTGGGGACACCTGGGGTTTGGAGGGGCTTTGGGGACATTTTGGGGACCTGCCAGCCCCTCCCCACCACAATCCATTAAAATCAGGACTTTTCGTGCTGCTGCTTCTCTGGGGGAGGGGGGGGGGTGTCGGGGCCGGGTCCCCCTCCCCAATTTCGGGGCCGGGTCCCCCTCCCCAGTTTCGGGGCCGGGAACCGGGCGCGCTCTCGGCGCTGTCCCCGGTGCTGAAGCGGCGGCGGCTGCGCGCGATTTCCCCCGGCCTTCATCACCCTCCTCTTCCTCTCCCCCGTCCCTTCTCTTCCTCCTCCTCCTCCTCCGTCCTCCCCACCCCCCGCCATCCTTCCTGCTCCTTCTCCTCCTCTTCCTCCTCCATTCCCTCTTTCTTCCTTCTCTCCTTCCTCCTCCTCCTCCT